ACTTTTGCAATCTTTGAGATTGGTTTTCCCTTATTTTATTCGAGCATTTCCCTCATCCAAAGAGCATTTTTTTGGAGTAACCATAATCAAACATTCAAAGCTTCCTCTTTTATTTCGCCGCCTTCAACCTCACACTTTAAGGTACCTTCCTCCAACTTAAGATTTTTCTTTCAAGCATTTTCTGACTTTTTGATAAGATGAATGATAATCCTATTAACATAGAGAGCAATTGAGAGGGTAGTATTTCTTATTAATTAAAAAAGGAAAATGGAATTTGATTCGCATTCCATTTATTTTGTATATGGGGATTTTAAGTTGAAAATCATTTATATGATTAATGATTCTAAAATAGAATGAGGGCTTAAGGACTCCCTTTTAAATCTAAATAATTCTAATTAGTGCCTTAGTCCACCACTACCCCGCAACATACCACACATATCACACATATAATCACCAATAATTCACAAATAATTAATTAAATAATTAATTCTAAATATGGAGTGTTACACCATGGACTACTGAGGGGTATTTAAAGAGAAATCTAGACCTAGTGTATTTTAAGTCTTTCACAATTGTAAAAATTAAGGGAAGTTTAAAGTCTTAGGTTTTTAGAGCCTCTTGTGTTTTTGCAAGTCATTCGTGTATCTTTTAATACATTGAGGTAGACTGATTGTTACTTGATTGTTTATCAAGTTATTTTTTTCACTCATACGCTTTTAAGCAAAGAGTTGAGTATTGTTCATTGTTCTCAGGAAAAAGCTTTTAAGAAAAACTGAGTATTGTTTATTGGAATTGGAATCTTTTGTTTTGATTCTAGTCACGGGTTTGTGACTGTAGGTATCACTGAGCTGATTGGAAGTGAAAGGGGGTGTCAAATCTAAAAGGTTTTTAGGTAGAAGTTACACAAGGTAGTGATTAGGCGAGAAGTTGTAAACTAGGATTTTTTAGGCTTTGAACTAATATTATCATACTGAATTTCCTTCCTGACTTTGTAGCTCCCAGAGTAGGTGACGTTGCACCGAACTGGGTTAACAATCAGCTGCGTTATTTATCATTTTGTAATTTATTTATGCATATGTTATAGTTATGATATATTTAGTTATTTCTGTCAACAGATGTCATAAAATTTGTCTTGACATTTTGTTCTAATATTGGGACATCAGTAATAACATGTTTTAAAGTGCAAGAATTTCAGTAATTTTTCTTACTACTAACTATTGATTGATTAATTCTTCATCTCTTTTATGCTTAGTGTTGTATAATTTTCTGATTAGTACTAACTGGGGGTGTGCACACATGCTACAACATATGGCCTGGCATCTGGTCATCAACATTGTATGTGCTGATTTTCTTTATGTGTTAGTAGTACCTTCTGATCATTGACTACTGACTAATAATTGTGTGTCCATGTGTGACTAACTCATCTTGAATGATTCGACTGACTGTTTTAGAGCAATAATTGTGTAGCATTCTTATGTGTGTGTAGCTACCTCATGATTTTTGTCTATGCTAATAAGGTGACGTTGTTGCTTTGCTTCTACTGTTGTTGATGTATGCTTTAATGCTCTAATGAACGTTCTTTAGTTGTTGTTGTTTGTTCTGAGTATGGGATCATTGGGTACTCGGTTGTGTTTCTTACTTGAAGCATTGTTTTGTCAAAATTTTCCATATATGGAGATTATTGTTCATTTTTGGATTGGTTGCATTATACAATACAATATTACGTGAGTTCGGGTTGTTTCTGGTATATAAGGGATACATGTGGAACAAGATGTTCCAACATGTATGCTGCAACATCTAGTCTCGGTCAATAGACAAATGTTATGGCATCATTTGTTCTAATATTTTCTATCCAAGATTCACTCTTCAAAGAAGATCTACAATTTATGGAGAAAAGTTTATTTGGATGTACTGGTGCAACATGTGGAACACAATGTTCCAGCATGTGCAGTGCAATATCTGATCTTGTCAGCAGGTCATATAGATGTTGTTTGGTGCACAAGTTCTGATTGAGGTTTAAGTAGATTTATTGCTACTATTCAACAATGTATTTGTGTGATTTGTTTGAGAGTTTTTGAAGATCAAATCATATTTAAATGGAGATTTGAATTTGAATATAACAAATCATATCTTGTGGAGTTTGTTATGGAGCATATCCAATCAAATCCAAGAAGATTATGCTATTTTCTGGACGAATTTAATTCAGATATCCAAGGAGAAAAAGTATAGAAGACATTGTTATATAAGGAGACTCATTTCTCATGTTTTGACAATAATTGTGCGTACAAGATTAAGTTCTTAGTGCCTAGGGTTTGTGAGTCTTTTATTTCTTGTATTCCACGCTAATGTCATCATAAAGATTAGTGTTGAACCTTTTTGTAGCACATCACTTTATGTTTCAGTAACTTGACATAGTTGTTAGTTTGTCTCAGTTGAGTTGTAAATTCAACTATCAATACGTTGGTTATTGAGGTTGATCAATAGGAGATAGTGAGTGAGAGAAAGTGAGAGAAGTTATCATATTTAGAGGGAGTCATAAATAGAAAGTCACTAGAATTTGGATGAGACATTGAACATATTGGGATTGATGTTCGTATAAGACTGATTGTACTAATTCGAAGTAGTGAATTTCCTTTTTTTTTATAGAGTGCCCTCTAGACGTAGGTGTGGTTGCACTGAACTAGGTTACAAATATATTGTGTTAAAGTTGCTACTTTGTGCATTTTGTTATTGTTATTGTTTTTCTGTTGTCATACTGGTTTAACACGTTTGATCAGTTGTTCCAACATCGTATCCAACACTTGTTCCCTCTAGAATAGAATTTCAATCATGTTTCCCTCTGAATGGTCGGCCATTGTCGATGTGGTTGTCCCATGATACATGTTTATTCGATGTGGTCGGTTGGGGGTCGATGTGGTGATTCCATAACAAATGATTACGGACAAAGAGTCTATAATGATCATGGAGAAGGAAAACATGCAAGGCAGTGTATTATTCAATTTCTCGCTTATTCGGATATGCATTTTCGAAATTGTCATTGTGTTGTAAAATAAACAAATTTAGTGAATAAATACACATTCAATTAGATTTTGGGGTCTAAAATGTATCTCTGAATTCACCCTTTCATTAATACGGATATGCATTTTCAAACTAATTTTTTTACAAAACAGGAATGTCTCACATGCAACGTCTTTTGTATGTATATTGGGTGTGTTAAAAGATACATCTCCGAACAATGTCAAAAGTAAATTCAAATTTCCAAAGAATGGATCTTCACCTCTAGTCGTTCATGCTCTACGTAATATCGAGTATTAAGGTGTCCATATCATGTTGTCTTCATGTTAAATTCGATAATTGAACATGTTTGTTCTTTTTAACAAGAACTTCCTCAATACATTTTTCAAATCATATTCCATTTGAATCTCCTAAGCTTATATCATATTTTTTTAAATGCCAATTACTTTCACTTTAAACATTCACTCTTTTATTTGTTGATATACAGGAGACTCGTTATTTTAAAAATAGTATTAGAGGAATGTAAACACTATGCGAGTCATCCATACTATAAATTATTTAAAATTGAATATGTGAATTAAAAAAAATAATAAATATTATAAATTTCGTAAAAACATATATAAATTATATGGAACCTTAATTAAAAATTGAAGAAAAAAAATTAAAAATAACTAAAAGTATTAAAAAAAAGTATACAATAGATATCTTGTCAACCTGACAAAACGAAAACGAAACAAGTTATGTCTCTCTTAAAATTAACTCAATTCAACATTCGGCACAATGATAGAAAAAATGCTTGAATAATATGTTATTCCATGTAAATTAGTGTACTCTTGATTTTAGTCTCTAATCTTTTTTTTTTTTTAATAATCTCTTAATGCTCGGCAGGAAATCTTGATTTTAGTCTCTAATCTGTTTTGTTTTTAATAATCTCTTAATGCTCGGCAGGAAATCTACAGATCTTAAATCAACATAAAATTCGCATAAAATCTACAAATTTTCTCACAAGTTTTAAGTTTAAAGACTAAAACAAAAAATTTTTAACATTCCGAAACTATTTTAAAACAAAAACGCACTAACTTAAAGTAACCAACTTACTATTTAAGCCCACACAAAAAAATTGGAACCTTGTATAGTTAAATAACCTTCTAAATAAAAATAACAAAAATTATCACAACTTTGCATTTACTAAATTAATCTATTCATTATCAAAGCTTATATATATGTACACTAAATAATTTTTCTAACACCTCATTTTCTTTATATGTATTTTTTTATCACATCATCAACCTATCACATGTATAACATCACACTTTCTACTTGTCTCTCTCAACGTATTGCAATGTTTTAGGGAGTCCACAATATTTTCCATTCAATATATTATGGATCCGAATTTCAACAAGAGCATACGCTAAATCAGCTTATTTGAGGGGAGGAAGAAAAACGAGTGGTATCTAAAACCTTATGAATACTAGATATCAGTATTAATCGCTATATTAACTTGATTATTTCTACATCATAGAACTTGTGTATGAATCTGTGGAAACATCCCAATCATAAAACATAACCACCAAATTATGCAAGGACTTTTTTAAGTCATCCTTCTTGCAACAGAGGTTCCATAGATCATTAGACGTCTGCAAAATCAAACATTATGTTGAAATGAATCTTATAATATGTTGAAATGAATCTTATAGATCATTAGCAAACACGAGCATTATGTTGAAATGAATCTTATAATATGCATGGTCTGCTATTATCACTCTACATCTCCCTCCAGGGAAAACAGGGCAAGGGTTCAAAACAAATTTGAAGTATTTTTAGCCCAACTTGTGGATTAAATGATGTTTGCCGACACAAATGATATGTTCCTCCTGTTTTTCTTTTACCCAAAAAGAAAAATCTCCAACAAGTAAAATGAAGCAAGAAAACTTGCTAGGCTAGGCTGGCTAAAGAAAAGGAAATACAGCTCTAGTCCTGCTATTTTATTCTCCAACAGTCAAACCAAATCCAAATTTGTAGTCTTTTTTCTTGTGATCAAGCTGCAATAAGTAAATATGAAAATTATGTCAAAGAATGATGAATAATCTGATAAAACTTATATGAACACCCAATAACTAAGGAAAGTGCTCTGACCTCTGCAGAAAGAATGAAGTTCAGACCCATGTTTAACCGCTCCTCCAAAAATGCAGCACAGACGCCATTGGAATCAACCTTTCCCCTAAGGCGGCACTATAATAACCAACACAAGATGTTGAAACAAGATAAGATGGTTTTTCAACTGGATAAAATGGGTCAAAACTTCAAATGGCCAACTGTGATGCTAATCAGCTTTCAAAGGGAATGGGTAAGTTTCTTCCCCGTAATTCACATTGTGTAGTACTAAGTGCCGTTTAAAATAAAGAAATTGGCACAAAAATTGTGGAATAGTTTAAAATCAGCCAAGGAATGACAAAGCATCGCACCAAATATGTAGTACTAAGTACCTGTCTAAGGATGTAGTCATAACCAAAGCTAGCAGTGACATCTCTTGACATGGAGTTGAAGTTGCACATCAAATCAGTAGCCAGAGAAACCTGCAAGGAAGATTCAATGTAAGAATTAAAAAGGACCAAGGAAAGCACAAATCTACTATGTCGTGATTGACTCACCTTATCAGATACCTTCTGAACATAGCTTAGAAGGGCCATTCCAGTGCTGGCAATTTGTCCAGTGGCAACCTGGATGAATACAAGCAATTTGATATATTTTGGGAGCCATATAAAATGAATAAAATAAGGAGGTGGTAAAAATGGAAACATTGAACAGAAAATAAGATAATATGTAGCATATGTTAACAATCCCAGATAGCATAGCAGAGCATCCACAAAAACAATATAGCAGAATAACGGGATGGCTATTATTCTATAGAATGGAGGTTAAGTCAATAGAGGAATAGATGGGATAGCACTATCACGGCTCTATTCCCACTATTTGTGGTTGCAACAATGAACTGTGATGCAGTGGCAAGTACTGTATCAGTCAGGGCCCCTGCACACCATGACAGTGCTAATGGTAGCCCTTTGTAGGATAACAATAGCCAATGATGTACAATTGGACAAGTAGAAGCATACTATATCCGCTTGGTATATTATCTTTATGATGTACATAATTGTATTATAACAGGAAGAATAGAAAAACAAAATCCTTGAAATTGACTTAGGAAGCAGCATAATGTATAGGGCAGAACATTTGTACAAACATCAGAAGAGACAACCATAAACTTTAGATAAATAAACAGTTGTGAAAGATCCGAAATTAAATAAATAAGCAGAGGCAAGCAAGCAAGTTGCAGATAATGCATGTAAGAACAAGTCCCAAGTCATCATTACCATTTTATCAGTGTTGTAGCGAGCAGCATAACCAACACCAGACTTCCGATGCTGACCAGTCCAAAATACCTCCCCGCCCAATGATAAATGATTGGTGACACTCTGCAAATCGAAAGTCAATGTTTTCAGAAATAAAATGGATCTATTCGCATGTCAATAAATTGTACCACATCGTGCAACAGATTGAATCAATAGATATGTTTCGGATTAGGGGATAAAACAGTAAAGCTTGTAAACTATTTAGAATAACGATAATCCAAATTAGAGCTAATGTAGAGATGATCCAATCATCCAATTAAAACAACCCAAGCAATTATACATCAACCCGTGATAACTGGAAAAAATTGCCCATAACAAACTGAATGTATCTCAAAAAACCTAAGCTGATGGCCTGATGCACAAGTCCATACATTTATATTAGTATACATAAATACATAAACTGAACTTATAAGCACTTCATACAAAGAAGAAACTAAAAATTCTCACACTCAACAATGACATTGACAGATTGACTATCACATGACTTAAATATGAGCCAAACTACTATGAAGTTAAAAATATTAAAAAAATCAATTATATATCTGAAGAGCATGCATTATTTCCATTTCTTGAAAATTTGCTAGCTTCCGTATCTATATATACCACTGTTTAAGTAGAAATCTCAACCTTAAAATAACTGAAGAATTAGTTTTCACATGGAATTCCAGCACTGCACAAGTTGTTATAAATTATAACCCTTCTTTTATTCAAAAACTAAACTGTAGATAAAGGAAGTAGAGTAGGTCATTTGTGATTCCTTAATCATACTCGGAAGTAGATAGGATTGCTGACAGTACAACGTCAATCAGTTCAAACAAAACCACATAGCTGTAAGCAAGTAATATACTGTAATAACAGTAAAAAAACTAAATTATGATATCCCTCAGTTTCCTAATACAAACAAGTTCAGTAATCTAAATGACTTTTTCCTCCCTAAATCTCATATAAAACAGGCACTTAAAGAAGAAAAAAAAAGAGCAACGCGTTGGATGCAGATCCCCTACCTGAATATAACTTGCTCCTAGCAAAGATCCATTTCCTAGTTGAATCTGGGTCCTATAATCCTTTCCCTGAAAATTATAAAAATGAATTATTGAATAAGGAAACTACTTGAGGACAATTTGCATGCATAGTCAGAGAAAGTTCCACTAAGAAACTACCAAAACAATATATGCCAATAAATATATAATAGTTAATGGAAAGAATATGTAAATAGACAACCAGTAGATAAGGGTATCAAATGAAATAATCTAGATTCTAAAAAAGGAAAACTAACAGACCTTGTAATCAAAGTTGACAATCCCTTGCGACGCATGTGGCTCACTTGATAGCTGTAAAAAAGCAAGAAAGTAGAAGGTTGTGAGAAATAAAAGAGACAAGAAAAAATGCTAAAAATTGGGGAGGGGTAAGGAGATGTGCAAACTAAATACTCTCTAAATAAATTGAGTGGTCATTAGATGGCAGAGAAATTTCCCTTCCACCAATAAGTTGTAAGTTATCAATTCAAACACGAAACTAGACACAAGAAAACATGCTCTCATCATAATACTTAATAATAAAATCTAAAAGATACACATGCTAACTACTCAGGGAAGTAGAAACAACAGAAAATCATAAGCTATATAACTTTAAACCGAAACAAGCGTACACACCTGAGCATTGGCTTTTACAGTGAGATTCTCAGTCAAGTCATACTTGACTCTAGCAGTTACCCTGCCATCAGTCAAAGCTCTCCCCATAAGCAACATCTACAAAACATCGCCACGGTTAATAATAATAATAATAATAATAATAATAATAACAACGCATTATAGCATAAAACAAACAACTAATAAAGTTCATTTACCTTAGGATGATCAATGACAGTTGCACCAAACTCATAGTTAGCAGTTGGAATTTTAATAATCTCCGCAGACTGAGAAGGAACCTCAGTAGGTCCCATCGACACGCTGCTCAAATCAAATCATATAAACAAAAACTTACAAACAAAAATTTAACTTCAAATGAAAGAAAAAAAACAAGCAAAATGTACCTGTGATTGAGAGAGAATTTCTGATTTAGCATTTTGGTGAAATCAAAACGCATACCCTCAAAAAGCTCAGGTTTCAACGACACTAACAAAATACCGAAATTCTAACTGTTAAGTATAATCTATAATCCACAATCAATATAATCGTACAATTTGTAGAAAGAGAAATGAAAAGAACATACTCATAGCTTCGCGATGAAGCTCTTCGAAGGGAATGGGACAAGGGAGGTTGGAGTAATCGACTTTGACATCGGGCTTGTTGTTGTCGTCGGCGGTGGGAATCGGAGGAACCATCGACGCCATTGTGGAGGAGATCGGAGAATCGTGATTCGGAATTTTCTAAAACCCCTCACAGAGCGATGACTGCTAAAACCCTAGCTAGCTCCTTTTGCATCACTCTCACTCTCTTGCTTTTACACACTTTTCCTTCGTTTCACAATTCTACCCGACCCGTTTTGGAACGGGTCTGCCTTTTAAACGGATCCGTAAAAGCGGTTTTTTACCGTCTATTACCGGAATCACTACAAACCCTTCAAAAATCGTTTGTTAACTAATTATTGATTTTTTTTTTAAACCTCTAAATTATTAAATATTAAAAAATTAATAATATGCAGTAAATGGATTTTAAATTACCTTTAAAATAAATGTCCCCTTAAAAGTAAATTTTATTTGAAATTGTTGTATACATTTTTGTTTTTTAAGAGTAGTTTAATTCATTTGCACAAAGTTTACAATAACTCAATTATGATTGCAATCATATTTAACTTAAAAGTTGAGTATGTTTAGTAAACTTTTTACAAACTCAATGAAAATTATTTATTTTTTTAAATCTATTTATTATTAATACTACCAACATTATTATGTCTTGAGAGATAAAATGTTAAAGTTGAAGACAGACTTAAATATAGATAAGATATTATTTTAGTAATGTACGTACACAAAGTTAACATATTAGTAAATATTAAACATATTGTTAAATTTTGAAAATGATAAAGATAGTTATGTAGTCAATTGAAATGAATTTTATATTCTAAGATATTTATTTCAAATTAATCATATATTTGTGAGTATATCTAGAATTCTTTTAAACAAAATTATATATTTATTTCTTAATAATTAAGACATTTAATAGATTTTAAATACGTTAAAAACCGGTCAATCAAATCTCCTCTAACCGTTTCAAGCACATCTCCATCAAAATCATTTGCTCAAGTTATTAATAGAGTTTGTGACATCTCTTCCTCACCGCTCTCTCGGGCTAACCATAAAGATGATAGACTTTCTATTATTATTTCTGAACATGAATATAATGATGGTGTGATACGGTGGGAGAACTGACTTGAGGTTTTGCGTTTGTATTCGCAAATGTTGCGGTTAGCAAGAGTCGCCACCGACTTTTTATTTTATCCTAAGGAAAGGTTAAAAAGCACAGCAAAAACCTTTTGAGATGTTTTCTTGGGTTCGGGGAGTAGATTATAGAAAGGGAAGGTATTAGCACCCTTTCTATCCATGGTTATCCATGGGCTCTTAGTTACTTGCTTAGATCACTTGCCTTTTGTTTTCAATTGTTTTAAATGGTGCTTGAGTGTGTGGGTTTGAAAATGTTTTGAAAAGAGGCCAATGTGGTGGCAACCTTTATAATGATCCATGTGGGGATGTATACAAAGATGTACGTCTTTTGAAAAGGTTTTCATTTGTTTTTGAAAGTTATTTTGAAAGTGTTGTGAGGTATGGTTTTGAAATTAGGCAAGTGTTTTGTTTTGCAAGTTTGATTCAAGCAACTAAGAGGTTATCTACTCCTAAATTTCTCAAAAGATTATTGCTATGTTTTAACCCTTTTAACAAGTTTGTTCCACCATTGAATTTGGTGGACAACCTTATGTTAGGATGTGAAAGGGACGGGCGCGGGTCATCGTTTAGACCATAATTGCAACGGCGTTAAATATCTTTGGGCAATTTTCTTCAAGGGACTTGATCATTTAAATTGTTTGCTTTGAAAAGTTTTATCGAGGGACTATGATCATTTAAATTGTTTGCTTTGCCCAAAGAAGTTCAACATACAATATGGCCCAATTTTGAAAGGCAACAAGTGGAATACCCTAGGGGGTGCAAGTGTGATTTGTGTGTCCATTTTCATGCTTGTTTATCTTGAGATTAGGTCATAACTATTTTTTATCGTTTTTTTCGCATACAAACCCTAATTCTAGCATGTTATCATTAGAAAGCAATAAAGTGCGAAATTTAAATTACTAAGCTATTACAAAACCAAATATGGGAAGGGGGGTACAAATGTTCAAATGGGGATATTGACAAGTAATTTAAACCTAAATTATTACATCATTTTGAATACTTGCAAAGTAAATAAATTGCATAATTAAATGGAATTTAAACAAATATGCAAAATGCAAAGAGAAAGTTTTTTATATGTATGAGAAAAGTATTATTTATGTAAAATAAAATAAGAAAATAAAAAAAAGCATTATTTTGAGTATTTTGAATTTAGGGCAAAAACCCTAATTTTATTAAGAAAAATGTATTATTGTTTAATTTAATACAAACATTTATTTATTATGTACAAAATAAAATAAAATGAAGTATATTATGAAAAAAGTATTTTTGTATCAAATATTAATAAAAATGAAAAATTCAAGTATTTTTATATTTTAACTTAAATATATTGATAATATATATATATATATATATATATATATATATATATATATATATATATATATATATATATATATATATATATATATATATATATATATATATTAAGTCTTAAATATGTATTATACACAAAATAATATATATTTAATATTTTAACAAAATAAATAAAAAAAGTATTTTTATGTGAAATATTTTCAGAAGGTAAATAAAAATAAAAAATGTATTTACACTATTTTTCTATTTATTCTAATAATAGTATATATATAATATTTATATACAAACAAAAGAAATAAATCAAATAAATATGCCATATATTCAAAAAATGATGGAAAAAATATTTTTATTTTTTTAATGTCATGAGAAAAAAATAAACAAGTCAAACAAAAAAGAAAAAGTCAAAAAAGAATAAAAATAAAGCAAATGGGCTCAGGGGGTGTAATAGCAAATATGTGGTGTGAATAAGAAAAAACACACAAGCCCAGCCCAATGCCACTGTCTTCAACCTCCAGCACAAATGTTTGAAAAAACGCGCGCTATGTTCAGCTTCTTCTAACTCTTGATTCCTGGCTTTTTAGCAAAAACTCATAACACAACAAATGTTCAGCATGAAGAGACGATTCTAACCATGTATGGAACTTGACCTAACTCTCTAAGATGAGGGAGAATTTCTCCTCCCCCAAATCCTAACCTAATTTTTCTGCCATTTTTAAACTCCAAATTCTCTCTACTCAGGCAAAAGAAATGAAATGTAAAGATATGTACATGTTCAGGGCTATGAGTAGAACCTTGTTTCTTCACAAACTTAAGACTAAAGATGCATGATAAGAGAGATACGAGTTCAAAGTTTTACCTGTGCAGTTGAACTTATATCTGGAGAATGAGGAACTTCTGGTGCAAGATAGTGATTGGAAAAGCTTCCTTGAGGTCCAAGGATGCTGTTTCAATGCTTACTTTGTCTTGAAACTTCTTGTATCGAGCTGTGGAACTTCAACTGCAAGAGGAAAAAATGAAAATGGTGGAAACTGTTAGGGGGATTACAGGCCAGGTTTTAGGTCATGGTTAGCTTGCATACATGCTAGGGAATGTGTATGGATTGATTTTGGTAAGAATGCTCGAGGGAAATGGGAGTTGGCACTCAAACTGCATAGGCAACCCTGTTTTTGCAGTTTGAGGATGATTCTGAGATGGAGGGTGCTTGAGAGGTCAAGGACTCGTGTGTTAGCTTGGATATGTTCTATGGAGTGTGTTTGATAACTTCTTTCTTGTGTTTGTAAGCTGAAGAGAGAGTTGGTACAAGTTATGCACTTTTCTTGAACTTGAAGCAAACAAAAGCAAGTTGATTTTCTAGGTCAGTAGAGGACCCCCTAATGTGCTGCATAATCCTCTCTTGATCAGTGTGTTATGCACATAATCTTGTGCCAAGCAGATTTTCCATGTACTTTCTTGATTTGCAATTGGACATAAAGTTAATCTTTTCAAAAATGGAAAGTTCACTTTATCTAGTTTAGGATTAATCTTGCATACAATGCTTGCACTCAAAGAACAACACTCTAACACATTGAATATGCATTAAATTATTGAGTATGGAATGGTTCAAGGACCTGTAATCAAGCATAAAGCAAGCTGAGTTCAAATTTGCAAAGTTATGAACATGTTTTGATGAAGAACAAAAGTGAATTTTTGCCAACTTGTGAAATTCGAATCTCTCAAGTTATGAGGTTGTTTGATGAGTTCTTAGACATTTTGGAAAGCTTGGAATGTGTACTACAATCCATATTTGAAATGCAAATTAAAATTCCAAGTGGAAGGGTATGAAAAGTGGCCTTGAAGTGGGGTAGAAAACCTTGTCAAAATAGGTTAAAATTTCACTAAGTTAAAAATGGTTTAGTGCCCTTATTCAAAAAATTGTAACTTGAGATACAAGCTTCAAATGAGAAAACTTTGTGAATCAAAGTTGTAGATTATGCAACAAGCTACAACTTTCATGTTTTGACTTTTGTTTGAATCCAAATGGATCTTGGTGAAAAGGTGGGGCAAAGTTGGGAAAAAATTAGGGTTTTTCATAACTTAGAAAAATTCTAAGTTATGAAAAATTCCATTTTCAAACCCTAATTTGCATTTTGTGATTTCTTGGTGAACAAGTTTCATGATTTGGCATGTTTTGATGAAAAATGAATCTTGACTCTTGATTTTGACCAAAAAGTCAAAGTTTGACTTTTCAGTATACAGTCAAAATTGATCAATTGACTGGGAAATTCAACTGTCAATCTTGTGTACTTGGGATCTTTTGAGCTTGATGAATGTGTCAAGACCATTTCATTGAGTCCTTGAGGCTATATGTGAGCTTGGTTTGCCATTGGCTAGGTCAAACAGTCAAAAATTGCCTTTGTGCAGTCAAAACCCTAAAAATGACCATTTTGCCCTTTTGGTGATCTGATCAAATTTCTTGTGGAATTATGATCCAAATTTGATCAAATGGTCCATATGAGTTCATAATGTTGATGTGGATCAAATTTCATGAGATTTGACTGTCAATTGGCCACAGTTGACTTTTTCTCCAATACAGTTGATTTCTAGGTCAACTGCCCAATTGACTGGGCAAAACTTGGAATCAAGACTTGAAACTTGGCATG